GCACACAAACATGTTACAGTTTTATCATACTAAGATTTATCTGTAACTAGTAGTTTGCACATACATAATTATTTGAAACAAGGTGCCTCTTTTCATTTTTAAATTTTGTAGAGAAGGGGAGAAGTTGCTGGTGGCGTAAGATGGCTATTTCCTGTCCTATAACTTCAGGAAATTGTATGTGATTGATCAAGGCTTTGTGTCTCCCGTACATTGTATAAGCTTGGAAGCTTGGATTCCAGATTCCCTGTCAGTGGAACTTGGATTCCGGATTCCTTAAGCTGAAATTCTGATTCCAAAGTCCTGGAATTCGGACTCCACAAGCGAAAAATCCCGGATGCTTTAATTCGGATTACATGGGGCGATATGATAAGGGGGGGGGATCTAGGGGAGGGTGCAGGGGGTGCGAAAAAGTCCCCCCCCCCCCAAGATGACCTGCATCTTTCCAATACAACTGACATTCTGTAACGCTAGTTGCTTATTTTACGTCACTGCGTGACATTTACTTACAGGTTGCATAGATAACATAGATCACGTACTGATTTAAGGGAAAAAAAGGAACAATTTGGCTAGATTTAGAGCTTCGCATTACAATAGGGTTTAGCGAGCCAAGAATTAACCGCAGCATTATTGTATTTCTCTTTTGTCAAAGTATAAGTCATTGATGTATTAAGAGCTCTAGTTTAGAACGGAATAGACTTTTTGAGTGTAACAGTGAACGCGCTTTGAGAGAGAATGAAAGCATTTTGGAATTGAAAAATACAGTCCTTGATCGTAAACCAGCGCCGGGAAATATTCCCGAACATATCTCTTGCGTAGTGTTTTCTCAGAAACCTCACCGGAAAGGGATACTCTAAAAACTATTGAAAACAAAACAAAACAATCTTAAGACTATGGATTTGACGTTAAAATACTCGATTAACCATAGAGCAAAAACTGAATTTAGCAGTGAAACTGCGAATTTTCTTCAAAATCTGTTTCAAACTCTCGAAAATATGAGTTCCAGAAATCACCCGGAGGCATGAAGTCTCTTTCGTTTCCCCGTTTGAAATCGAAACAATATGATCTGATGTCTGGCTGTATTATAATCTCAGAGTGAATATTATATATATGGTTTAAAGAAGAGTTGATATATTAAAAAAAAAGATGACATTTTAATATCACCAGGGAAACAGCTACAGAGTAAAGGCATCTACTAGTACTGACCTTAAGATACACTGTTTCTGCCTAGGGGTATAGGTAGGCGAATATCTTTGCCATGTAGTTATGGAAAAGGCAACCATTATTTTCCAGATGTGATAATGGCGTTACAGTTCTACCCGGTAGCCTACCCGTTTCTCCGGGGTAAGAGGGAATCCGGGCCCGTATCTACGGCTACGCGCACGGGTAATTTAGCCCTACTTGTACACGGAAATGGTGTATCTTTATGTCTTTATTATACGGGCTCGTGACGGTAGAGCAAATCATGAGTTGCAAAGTTACTTTGTCTCCATGACATTTATTGCATCGCTTACATTTTGAAAATTATTATTGATACTGAAGTTTAGAACTGAAAGAGCTCTTAAAAATTACACTGATTCGACAGTAATGCGGAAAAAATAATTATTTTTCAAATAGGCCATTTCCCAGTTCCAAAAACTCTCACTTTGAAAAAGAACCTAAGTGCAAAACCTTTCTTGTGAGAAATGAGTTATATTTGCATAAGTATAAAAAGTGCGTTTCATAACAATGCCTTCGCACTTCGCCTCGCTCTGAAACTGAGGCGTGGGGGCAACTAGAAAATGGCCTATTGGTCTCTTGAAGATTGCTTTGAACTGCTGACAGTTATTACATCGTTAAAAGCTTCGGAAAAAAGAAACACAAGATTTAATTGTTACTGTATGCATGATACATGTTGTGTTCCAAGTGCATTTCCACTGACACGTAAGTTTTGTGTGCGTACGTTAAGGTGGCTTTCCACTGTCGCATAATTTTTACGCGCGTAACTAACATACAGACAATGTGTGGAAGGTCACGCGTAAACGTAAAAGTTGAACCTCACTCAACTTTCACGTTTACGCGTGGCCTTTCATACATTGCCTCTTTTACATTTACGCCCGTAAATTTTACGGAAAATTACGCGACAGTGGAAATCAACCCTTACGCGCGTTATTTTTACGCACGTAAAACCACACACGAGCAACCTTTCATACACTGCCTCTGTTTTCTTTAAAGCACATGAACTTTACGCGCGTACGCACTTAAAAATTACCCGACAGTGGAAATCCCCTGTAAAGTTGAGCCAGGTTCAACTTTCACGTTTACGCGCGACCTTCCATAGTTACACTGCCTCTATTTTATTTACTCGCGTACGCACGTAGAAATGACGCGACAGTGGAAATCCACCTTTACCGAAATTATAGTGCCCGTATTAAATGCACACAACTCAAATTTTCCAACTACAAATATCATTTTTCTCAAAAATTAAAACGGGTGGATCTTGACTGTTTGTTTTATTTATTTATTCTTAAGTATGGCAAAAATATAATGTATCCATCCTTTTTTACCATAGCCACGATTAGCCACAAGCTTGAAACACTTTCTCATGGAAAGCCAAAATGACTGTAAACGCACTTGAACGGAAACACGGACAAAGATCTCTTGTTTCCATATCCGAAGGGTACCACCAACTTGTTATGGAAGGACACTTTGTACCCGATGTTCCTGGTCAAATAAGACAAAATTCACAGTTCCTTAGTTGTCGAAGGAATCTGATGCTAATTGCCTAATAATAACGATTGACCTGCCCACTCAGTTAAAGCTCTTGAAATACTTTTGGTGCGGACCTTACTTGATAAAAAAGCAATAAATGATCATAGGCCTACCAGGCTACTTAAAAAAAAACTGAAAAAAAAAAGAATGAATGGGAAACAAAATAAATAAATGAAAAATCAACTGAAAAATCTAGCTCCGAACACTGATCTAAAGTTCTCAGAAAACTGAGTCGCAAAATTATTCAACTCAGGCTTCAGCATGATCGCCTTCAATTTTAACTTGACCATACATTAGGCCGGTTTTTAGGCTGCTATATGTTTTGGCTGGACCCTCTCGTGCTTAGAAATATTATCGAATCATCCCGTGCTAAAATGTTTATTTCTCGTTACCTCTTTACTTTAAAACAACCAGGTTTACCTTGTAAGCTTTCGAAGACAAACTTTAAACCGGGCTTTATATATAGGAAAGCTGGGAAAAAAGGCTGACTATCATTGCCGTAAACCAGACCCATCAGGAAAGCCTTAAGGAAAACCAGCTAGACTAACCAGGTATTACTGGTTAAGAATTTTTTAATCAGAAATGAGGTTCATCAGACTCTTGATATAATTTTCAATCGTATTAACCAAAATTAAACGGGTAGTAAAAACAGGCTTAATCACAGCTGTCAGTCAGGGCTTTCAATGTATGGGTTCAAGGGCAAGAATATGTTTAGCAAAATGAAGCAGTTATCAATACATGATGTATTTGATAGATTCTGAGATTCTGAGAAATTAGCTCCAAATTATTGATCTCCTAGGTCAGTGAGTTTATTTTTACCTTCGAACTGTTCCGCAGCCTTTCAGAGGAGCCTTTATAATAACACTGTTCTTAGTCACATAATTCACGCCACAGCTGGGATCGTTAAGATGAAGCAAACTGGCATCTGTTCCCAAAGGCAAACTGTCACGCGCTATGTAAGCGACCATGGCAGAGGGGAAGCATGAAATAGTAAAGGCAAACTTGGGTCCTACGGGTAAAAGAGTGATAAACAAGGAAAAAAATCACGAATCCCTGAAATCGTCGTCTCGTGTTATATCACTTTAACTACAGGCATTATTTATCTCTAAATGTATTCTCTGACGTCATTGTTAACAAGGCATTTGAGGAGATCAAAATTCAAAATTGAGTATCCGTGACGTCATATGACGTCATAGGACGTCAGAATTGTCTTATAGTTATTCACGTAACATTCTTAGCTTAGTTAAGCTTCAAAGGGAGCTTTTAGCGTCTTTGCCTCATTTTCGCTGTCGTCGTCGTCATATTTCCTTCAGATTCCTCACAAAACAAAAAAAACGGCATACTCTCTTTAGCTCCGAGCATTATTATTGAACGAGTTTTAGATACTTACTCGTTGGTGAAGACCAAGGGGTAGGCATTGCTATAAAAAATTCGACAAAGTAGAATTAAATTAGAATTTTGTGCACCATAATACAATAAAATTGTTGTTAAAAAAAGTAATAAACACAAACGTCTTATAAGCACAGGGTTTAATATTTGTAGGGTTTTGGGTGTGGCTATAAACTTCCTATAGCTCGATTAATGGCATACAGACTTAATTATGTTAGAAACGTAAACTGGAGAATCATGAGTTTTGCATTAAAAAGTGTAATTGTCAATTACAATAGGTTGAGATAGGTTAACAGTACATATAAATTAAATGTCACCGGGGAGATGTTATTCGTTGCGTGGCAGAAAAGAAATAGTCTTCACCAAGAATGTGCGGAGGTCCCAGAAATTATATAGTTGCGTTTAATTACAACCTCTAAAAAAACTGTCCCATTATACTTTCTTGTCTTCACCAAATCTGTCGGAAGATTAAATTAATCAGCATTGTTTTCCTTTCCGCTTAACTGACTTAGTGTGATTTTACTTACTCCATGGTGAGGGCCAAGAGGTGGACACTGCTGAAAAGGTAGAGCTGAATTAAAAATTACTTTTAAAAAAATAACCTAATTGTAATGGCACAATTGTGAATAGTGCATAGGAGAGATAAATATTGCAGGTTTTTGGGATGTTGCTGAGTTAAAGGTAGTCTACTGTTAAAAATCGAGAAAATAAGTACCAGAAGGATATGATATGAGTAGGTTTGTAAAGCCTTGCTGTTTATTCTTACCATATTCACCTCCTGCTTTCTATTAGAAGTAGAAGCAGCGAATGTACGATATGTACTTACTACTTTCTGCCCCTTTACTTGATGGCGACGACGCATGCGTTGATGTTGGTGAAGGCGGTTCATGAGATTCGGAGTACTCTGCTAGGAAACCTCTATCGGGTGAGAACGACGAATAGAATTTAACAAACATTTGGTTACCACTTGAGATCTTTGCTGTGAGCTCCGAGTTGGTGCACAGACGACCCAAGGACGACGAATTTGCCGTAGGACCATCGTAGAACTCCAAGCGGCTACAAAAATTAGAGCTGCAATCATCGCATCGGCCCATCTGAAAATCTGTGATTTGTACCTTTACACGTTTTCCAGGAGATGCAGTAATGATCCAGAAACAAGTTCTGCCAGAGGGGTAGTTCGCGACAGGGTAGTTGAG